AGAAGGGAGTAAATAATCAATTCTGCAGAAGTTGGAGGTCTTCATAGCTGAGTCTTAAGAGACAAGTTAGGTTTTACCAGCCAAAGAAGCAAGAGAGTCCCTTTAAACAGAGAGAAAAACAAGTATAAAGGTACAAAGCTATGGAAAACCTTGACTAGAATAGGGAGAGGCTCATTGTGGCTAGGCCAAGGGGAGTAGATGGTGTAGGGGGGAAAATGGGTCAAGGGAGGAAGAGAGTTGGGGCTGGATTGGAGAAAACAATACAGAGAAATGAAAAGAAAAATGACTCATAATCCTACTACTCCAAGTGAATCACTCTTAATTTTGGTATATTTCATTCCAGTTTTATAATTCTAATTGTAAACATGATAACTGCTCAAAAGCAAATAATAAAATTTTTTAAATGCACAAAAAATAGGATCTATTGCCTATCACTTGAAACAATCTATGGTATTACTCCTTTTAATTTTTGGTGATTTTGTGGTCAAGTGAAAAAGATTTAACTGTGTTTCTGTAGACAAAAGCCAAAATTATGTGTAGACAAGGAAGTAATTTGACAAGATTTGTTTTTAAGAAGATATCACTGATTACAGTATGGAAGTTGAACGAGTTTAAGAGGAGGCTGGAGACCAAGATAGATGTCTGTGGCAAGGCATTTACCTTTTTTTTTTTTTTTTGTAAACTTCTTTGAGGTTTGGACAAAGAAACCTGTTTGATCCCAGCTGTGCAGGAGCCGAAGTTCCCACAGAACTACAACCTTGTAACGGAGAACCTTGCCCTGACAGAGTACACCTTGTACTTGGGATTTCACAGGTAACTCCTCTGATGTCATTAGGAAAAAACAATTTAGTTGTGTTGATAACGGGAAGGTTGCAAGTGATTCTTTGGCCAGGCACAGTAGCTCACATCTGTAATCCCAGCTTTTGGGGAGGCCAAGGCAGGATTGCTTGAGCCCAGAAGTTTACAACCAACCTGGGCAAGAAAGTGAGATCCCCCGCAATCTCTAGCAAAAAAAAAAAAAAAAAAATTAGCCAGGCATGGTGGCATGTGCTTGTAGTCTTTCTTAGCTGTTCTGGAGCTGAGGCAGGAAGATTGCTTGAGCCTAGGAGTTGGAGGTCGCAGTGAGCTATGATTGTACAATTGTACTCCATCCTGGGTGACATAGTGATAACCTGTCTCTTAAAAAAAAAGAAGAGAGAGACTCTTAGAGATATAACCTGAGCTTATTCTAAAGGCTTACATTAGAATCTGGTAGGAAAAGGGCATTGTATGAATTTATTTGTGTTTCATGAATCAGCTTTGTACAGATTCCTTACATTTGTTTTTAACTGTTGGTGTTGAAACAGTTTCACTCTTGTCACCCAGGCTGGAGTGTAGCGGAGCATTTTCAGCTCACTGCAACCTCTGCCTCCTGGGTTCAAGTAGTTCTCCTGCCTCAGCCTCCTTAGTAGCTGGGATCACAGGCATGTACCACCAGGCCTGACTGTTTTTGTATTTTTTTAGTAGAGATAGAGTTTGACCATGTTGCCAGGCTGGTCTCAAACTCTTGGGTTCAAGTGATCCCCCTACCTTGGCCTCTCAAAGTGCTGGGATTACAGGCATAAGCCTCTGTGCCTGGCCTGTTCTTAACTTTTGACCTGTTATATACTTAACAGACTTAAAGATGCACTGGAATTTTTCTCTACATTTGCAAATTTTTAAATCACTGTTTCTCTATTATGATCTGGGAAAGTGGAATTGTTTTCATTTTATATTGCACTTTCTGCTCTTAAATTTTCGTTACTGGCCAGTTCTGGTGGCATATGCCTGTAATCCTTAGCACTTTGGGAGGCCAAAGGCAGGCAGATCACTTGAGCCCAGGAGTTTGAGACCAGCCTGGGCAACCTGGCAAAATCCCGTCTCTACAAAATATACAAAAATTAGCTGGGCATGGTGGCATGCACCTGTAGTCCCAGCTACTCGGGAGGCTGAGGTGGGAGGATCTCTTGAGCCTGGGAGATTGAGACTGCAGTGAGCCAAGATTGCACCACTGCTCTCCAGCCCGGGCAACATAGTAAAACCCTGTCTCAAAAAAAAAAAAACCTATTTCATTACTACTCCTGGTGATAAAAGATCAAGTTCTACTCTACAGAGAGATAAAAATGGCAAAAATTAAGGAAATATTTATAAGGGAATCTGATGAGATTAATAGGACCATGGAAGAGCTGTTCATAGTAGATAAAGAAGTTCTAGAAATATGAAGACTTTACAGCCAGAATGTATGACTTCCAAAAACAGTTCTCGTTCTGGCTATCCATTATTCTGTAATTTTTTTTCTTCTGATATAGCTGATTATGACAAGTATAAGTAGAGGAAGAAAACAGCAGCTCAGTCACAGAAAGGGATACTAAGAATAGCAATTTTAATGCCTTCTCAAGATACCTGAATAGATGCAGAGCATTTTTCAAAACTATTCAGTCAACACATTGCTGGAAGAATGAAATTACATCTTTGGAGAGAAATCCCCATCATAGACATTTTAAATGAGACAGATAAAAGTGCAGCATGTGTTTAACCTGCTCAACTGCCTAGATTCAAACAAAAAATGAATATTATCTAGTTTCCCAGTATTCACTAGCCCAAGACATTATCTACAGAGCCAGAGGAGATGATTTTAGACTATTATCCATAACTTTGAATTATGTGTCTTCCTTTCAGTAGAGAATATTAGGCTGACCTTTTCTGAAGAATAATTTAATTTAATATTGAACAACACAGAGCTGGAAGCTGCTCTTAGATTGCATCTCAGGTGGCTACTAGTTTATATGTGGTCATTACTAATCTAGAGTCCCTTTTCACCAGCTTAGTTTTCTACTAACCAAAGAAAGACCATCCATATAACCCCATCAAAGTGTGATCATTGCATCGAAGTATGATCATTGTCCTTGTGTGGTATAAAACTGTTCTACTGGGCTTCTTGTACTTTGCCTCATAATTATTTATTTTATCTAATAAACAGTCCATTCTACATCCTACTCACCCAAGCTGCCTTTCTTTGGATAGTGCATTTCAACTGGAGGCTGCTAACTATTTGCAATTAGCTTCAATTATGTTGAATACTTGTCAACGCTTTCCCATTGCTGTGCACCCTGCCTGTGTCCTGTCAGAAACTTTTGTGAATGCCTTCTGTGTCATTACAACTGCAACTCCCTACTATCCTTAAACAGAAGACTAGAGTAAATAATTGGGGATTTGATTTTTGTGACTTTCTGTTTTTGCTTACCCAGTCTCTTCTGCTTTCTTGGGGGCAGGTTGCATGATCAGATGGTAAAAATCAACCAAAATCTGCATCGGCTGCAGGTTGCCTGGCGGGATGCTCAGCAAAGTTCTAGCCCTGCTGCTGACAATCTTCGTGAGCAGTTTGAACGACTGATGACCATCTATCTGTCTACCAAGACTGCCATGACAGAGCCACAAATGCTACAAAACTGCCTAAACTTGCAGGTGTCCATGGCTGTTCTGCTGGTTCAACTGGCCATAGGCAATGAGGGCTCACAGCCAATAGAGCTAACCTTTCCTCTGCCAGATGGCTACAGCTCTTTGGCTTATGTGCCAGGTAAGCAGGAACTCCCTTGGGAATGTCCTATTTATAGCCTTCTGAATTTAACTGGGTCACTTTGGAAGCTTAATCCTCAAAATACCCTTTCTTCATTATCATTCAGTTGTTTTTGGAGAAACAACTCAAACTTAGTATCTGCTGGTCAGAGTATTAGGGGACTAACAGTTTGTTCCTCAACCTTGTGTCCCCACTGCTATGCATATCAGAAAATCATCTTCGAAGGATTAAATGTAGTCAGAGTTGTCAGAGCTGTTAGTTTCTATCATTAATATTTGTTCGATTTACACATTCATCTAACTTTCCTTGTCCTTCTTGTGGAAAAAAAAAGTTAGTTCCTGTTGGTTAGCTCAGAAGGGAAAAAGAAAGAGGGAGAGAGGAGTGTTTGTGTCTGTCAGTGAGAGGTGGGCAGGTGTTGTCAGTCTACTCAGGTTATGTGTTCTTAACCATTGTATTGGTCATACCATGCTGTGTAACAGATTACCGCAAAACGTAGCAGTTTAAAACTACAGACCGGGTATGGTGGTGCACACCTGTAATCCCAGCACTTTGGGAGGCCAAGACAGGATGATGACTTGAGCCTAGGAGTTCAAGATTGGCCTGGGCAACATAGGGAGACCTTATCTCTACAAAAAAAATTAAAAATTAGCTAGGCATGGTAGTGCATACCTGTAGCTCCAGCTACTCAGGAGGCTGAAGGGAGAGAATCACTTGACCCCGTGAAGTTGAGGCCATAGTGAGCCATAATTGCACCACTGCACTCCAGCCTGGGTACAGAGCAGGACCTTATCGCATAAAAAATAACAAAATAGCAACAACTACAAACAGCTCACTCAGCTGCATGGTTCTGACTTAGAGTTCCTCAGGAAGTTACATAGCCAAGCTGTCAAGTCAGGGCCTTAGGAATCTGAGGACTCTACTAGGGCTAGAGGATCCGCTTACAAGTCCAGTCGTGGTTGTCGACAGGCTTCAGTTGCTTGTGCTATTGGCCAGCAGCCTCTTCTAGGCCTTGTATGTGTCTTCTAAATACTACCACAGTATGGCAGCTGGCTTCCCCCAGAGCAAGTGACCAAAATGGAGACTGTAAGCTTTAATACCCTAATCTTGGAAATGACATATCATCACATCTGCTGTATGCCTCAGAGTTTATCTTCTACTCTGAAAGAGTGAATATAGGAAGGGACTACACAAGGTCATGAATACCAAAAGGCAGTGTTCACTGGAGGACCATCCTAGAGGCTGGCTACCGCCGTCATCTATCATATTAATCTTTACTAGGGAGCCCTCACACATCTGAAGAGTTTAAACCATGGTTAACCTTGAGAGTAAAAATGTATATATAGTGTACTGGTGTGTTGACAGTTTGTGTCGTTATATTTACTTGGATAAAAATTTAAATTGACTTACACTTAAAGGAGATTTTACATTTATTGACTTACCACCATCTCTAGTACCAATAAAACATTTAGGTTTTTTTTAACCTTCATTAAGTAGGGTGCAAGGGAGGAATTTAAATATTGTTTATTAGTACAGATATACAGATGTTTGGCTAATTCCAGTGAATATTTTCTTTTTCAGAATTTTTTGCAGATAACCTGGGTGATTTTCTCATTTTTCTCCGCCGCTTTGCCGATGACATTTTGGAGACATCAGCAGATTCCCTGGAGCATGTCCTTCATTTTATCACCATTTTCACTGGAAGCATAGAAAGGTGAAGTGCTGAAAGCTTGGTTCTTTCACTGTTTGCTATAAAACATTCAGAAGACTTCTAAACCAAGAAACAAGCCTGAATCATAAGGGTTTGCCTTCAGAAGTTGTTAAAATTAATGAAGCACCTGACCATCTGGCTACCCATAGGTAGCCAGAAATCCCACCGTTGAGAGGTATAACAAACAAAAGCCTTTGCCCACAGAAAATTTAATCCTGCATATAAGATATCTGATGGGAATTCTGCTGCTGCTAGTCCCTGGTTAAAGTAGTTAACATAATGCCAAAAACGTACCAGTGGCAGCCAGGTGCTAATGATCTTCTAATAATTATATGATGGTAAAGCTTGTTCTTGCTATTCTGAGTTGGATGAGCAGTAAACTTAAATCAATGTTATTTCGCATTTCAAATGTTCTCACTCATAGCTTCTAGTCTTCTTTTTTAAAGGAAGATTCTGTGACTTGTAGAATTGCTTCCCTGATTTTTTTTGATGCTTAGGCTAAAGGAAATGGAAACTCTGTACAAAAGTGAAGATTTCCTGCAGAGTGAAGAGAATGACCCACAATTCCCTGAGCTGTATCAGTAATAAGTAGAGAGAAGCCAATTCTTCACAGAGCTGAGCATACCTAATGAGAAGTCATAAGTCAACAAGTATTATGCATACACTGTATACATCATGGGTAATGTAGCATAATTCCATCCTAGTCTTTACCCTCAGAAAGCTTGAAAAGGCAAGTTTATCCCACATGAAACTCAGAGAATAGTAAGCAGTAAATAATGCATTATTACAGACAAGTAAACAATGGCTAAGCATTCAATAGAAATGTAAGTGCTCACTCTCATACTTGGTAAGCTGTCATGTCAGGAGTTAAATGATGTACCCTGCATCACCCCCACCAAGAAACTGACAAACTTAAAACTGCAGAAGTGGATCCTTTTTTTTCCTATAATGATGGTTTAGGGTGGATTTTGATTCTTATGTGGAGAGAACTGAGTCATAAATTTGGAGTCAGCCTTATCTGCTCATCTTCCTTTTTGCCGATTTGCAGAATGAAGAATCCCCACCTGCGGGCCAAACTAGCAGAGGTGTTGGAAGCAGTGATGCCCCACCTGGATCAGACCCCAAATCCCTTGGTATCCAGTGTATTCCACCGGAAACGTGTGTTCTGCAACTTTCAATACGCACCCCAACTTGCAGAGGCTCTAATCAAGGTTTTTGTGGACATTGAATTCACAGGTAAAGCAGTCATGAAGCCGAGCCCAGAACTGAGAAGCTGATACCAGTGGAGTTTCATAGTTTGATCTGTATTTGGGTATCAAAGAAATGTCAAGCCATTATTTATTGAATACCTACTATGTGCCAGGCTTGATGATAAGTGCTTTTTTTAAATATTCCATTGTCACCATCTGAAAAGTTTCACTCTACTGTCCCTATTTTATTATTTTTTTTAATCCCTGTTTTACATAGGAAGATATAACGGCCCAAAAGATCAAATTATTTGTCCATGTTTTAACAAACTACCACGTGGTAGAACCAGGTCTGTGTCACCTAAAGAAATCTACATATTCAACACCCTTATTATGTTGCGTTATCAAATCAGACTCAGATTAGGCTATTTGATTAAAATCTACATCTTTATTTTTCTCTGCTTTAAAATTACAGAATAGTGAATAAAGAGACAAAGTGCTATTTGCGAGATTCTTTTATCTTAACCAGACTGTCTAACTCTCCAACAGTCTAATTGTTAGATTAAAAATACCAACAGGCGGCCGGGCACGGTGGTTCAAGCCTGTAATCCCAGCACTTTGGGAGGCCAAGGCGGGTGGATCACGAGGTCAAGAGATCGAGACCATCCTGGTCAACATGGTGAAACCCCGTCTCTACTAAAAATACAAAAAATTAGCTGGGCATGGTGGCGCGTGCCTGTAATCCCAGCTACTCAGGAGGCTGAGGCGGGAGAATTGCCTGAACCCAAGAGGCGGAGGTTGCGGTGAGCCAAGATCACACCATTGTACTCCAGCCTGGGTAACGAGTGAAACTCCGTCTTAAAAAAAAAAGAATACCAATAGTCTTGTGCTTGTAATCCCAGCACTTTGGGAGGCCAAAGTAGGCGGATCACTTGAGCTCAGGAGTTCAAGATGAGCCTGGCCAACATGATGAAACCCCATCTCTACAAAATACAAAAATTAGCCAGCCATGGTGGCCAGCACCTGTTAATTCCAGCTACTCAGGAGGCAGAGGCACGAGAATCACTTGAATTCGGGAGGCAGAGGTGGCAGTGAACTGAGATTGCACCACTGCACTTCAGCCTGGATGACAGAGCAAGAAATCGTCTCAAAAAAAAAAAGACAGTCGGCATTCCCTTTCTAACCCTGAGCCCCTGTGTTTGTTTAAACAGTACCCTATCTCAATCAGTAAATAAGATATGTTAAGAAATTGTTGAAGGCCTTTTTTTTTTTTTTTTTTTTTTTTGAGGCGGAGTTTCGCTCGTTACCCAGGCTGGAGTGCAATGGCGCGATCTCGGCTCACCGCAACCTCCACCTCCCGGGTTCAGGCAATTCTCCTGCCTCAGCCTCCTGAGTAGCTGGGATTACAGGCATGCACCACCATGCCCAGCTAATGTTTTTTGTATTTTTAGGAGAGACGGGGTTTCACCTTGTTGACCAGGATGGTCTCGATCTCTTGACCTCGTGATCCACCCACCTCGGCCTCCCAAAGTGCTGGGATTACAGGCTTGAGCCACCACGCCCGGCCGAAGGCCTTTTTTAAAGGGATGTCTACCATCCAATGATAAATACAACTAACATTTAAGGAGGCATTTAATATTTAACTGGCCACCTCTGGGTTTTTTTTTTTTTTTTTGCTTGCTCACCTATGAGCCTTAGTTTTCTCATCTATAACATGGGTCAAAGTGATGATTAAGTGAAATAATATGTGTAAATCTTTATAATACATAAGAAATTCTGTAATCACTGCGGTTATCTCGTATGACCGTATAACCAAAGTGTTGTAATGGAGTACAATTTCTGTTTTATTTCTGAGGAAGTAGAAGCTGAAAAGGATTAAGAGACTTAGATTAAGCAGAGCCAGAATGAAAACTGAGGTCTTTTGACTCCAAATCCTACACTCTTCCTTTATTATGACCCAGCCTGTGGAGCTCTAGTAATACCTTTGGTATTTCAAAAGCAGTATAAGCCTCAGATTTTTAGCTCCTGACCTGATTTTTCAGAGTAATCAAGAACCTGTTGGCTATACCAGGTATCTGTGAAGAATGTGGGAATTGCTTAGTGTCTCGCCCTGCACATGGCTTTCACTGCCGTAATGGCCAGTCCTGAGCCCTCATTTAAAGTCTGAAAAGTACTCATGTTTGGATATGGAAGTATTTATCTCCCTTGGCTTCTTTTTTTTTTTTTTTTTTTTTTTTTTTTTTTTTGAGACGGAGCCTCACTCTCTTGCCCAACTGGAGTGCAGTGGCGCAATCTTGGCTCACTGCAGCCTCCGCCTCCTGGGTTCAAGCGATTCTCCTGCCTCAGCCACCCGAGTAGCTAGGACTACAGGCGCATGCCCCCACACCCAGCTAAGTTTTGTATTTTTAGTAGAGATGAGGTTTCACCGTGTTGGCCAGGATGGTCTCGATCTCTTGACCTCGTGATCTACCCACCTTGGCCTTCCAAAGTGCTGGGATTACAGGCATGAGCTACCTTACCCAGCCACCCCTTGGCTTTTATTTTATAGCTTGGTACTTGTCTCTTGCAGAGTAAGGTATCCATTATCTCTGTCTCCATCTTAATTTGTCAGTAAGGAAATGAACAAACACTTGCCCATAACTCTAGGCCTTCAGAAACTCCAGGGCAGATTTTGTTAGGAGCCTTTACACACTCAAAAGCAAATGACCACACATAGGCATAAGCTCTTCCTCTTTCTCTTATGGCACCACCTTTGCTGATATTTTGCCCTTGCCTTACTCCAGGAGATCCCCATCAATTTGAACAGAAGTTTAATTACCGCCGTCCCATGTATCCCATCCTAAGATACATGTGGGGGACAGATAGCTATCGGGAGAGCATTAAGGTGAGAGAGTTTTTGGTGAAACCAGTTGCCTTACATAAGCCCCAGTGAGTTGTGATTCAGTACTAACATGGTTTTCTTGTGGGCTGGGACTTACAGGATTTGGCTGACTATGCCTCTAAGAATTTAGAAGCCATGAATCCCCCACTTTTCCTCCGCTTTCTTAACCTGCTAATGAATGATGCCATCTTCCTTTTGGATGAAGCCATACAGGTAAAATATAAATATATATTTTTATATTTTATATAAATATAAATATATATGTATAGATATATTTAACTCCCCCATACCATCAAATCATCATTAGTACATACAGTTTACCTTTTTATCATAACCTTTTATCATAAAAGAGCAATTCTTATGCCCCTAGTACCAGACTTGAACACCAAAAATTTGTGATTAGTAAGCTTGCCATTACACAGCTTTCTAGACCATTCCATTACAGAGCAAGATCAAGGGTCACTGAAGCGTCATGAGATGGATATTTTGGCAGAGTTGGAAAATACCATATGGGCCAGGCTCAGTGGCTCACACCTCTAATCCCAGCACTTTGGGAGGCCAAGGCGGGCGGATCACGAGGTCAAGAGATAAAGACCATCCTGGCCAACATGGTGAAACCCCGTCTCTACTAAATATACAAAAATTAGCTGGGCATGGTAGTGTGCACCTGTAGTTCCAGCCACTCGGGAGGCTGAGGCAGGAGAATTGCTTGAACCCAGGAGGTGAAGGTTGCAGTGAGCCGAGGTCACACCACTGTACTCCAGCCTGGTGACAGGGTGAGACTCTGTCTCGAAAAAAAAAAAGAAAATACCATATGATGAAACCAAACTAAAGTGTACTGGCAGGAGTAATTCATCAGGCCAGTACTACAGAAAGAAATCAGAGGAGCTTGCTTTTGGTCAGCGACTTTCAACCCTTTTAATCCCAACATGTCGGTAAAATATCTCACTAAAACAATGATTTTTAACCC